AAAAAAAAAACAACAACAACAACAAAAAAAAACAAAAACAAAAACAAAAACAGGAAATAGAAGGAAAACAAGCGATACGGCTCCAAAGCGAGCCCTTTTGTAGTAGTTGTTTCTTCCTACTTGTTTCTTGTTTCTTGTTTATTTTTTATTTGTTTGTTTGTTTGATGATGTTGGGGAGAAAGGTGTCGTTCCCCCTTTTGATATATACACACACACACACACGTTTATTCCTCTTACTTTTCCATTCTCTTTCCCTTTGCGTGAACGGCGGCAGTGTTTCGCGCGTGGCTGCCCTCTCTCTTCTCTCCGTCACTACTCAACTCCGCCGCGTGCCTCATGTCTTCCACGCTCATCTCTTTTTTCTTCTCTCTTCTTGTCTCATCTCTGCTCCTCCACTACGCAGAGTCAACAAGGAAAAGAGCAGAAGGGAGCGGTGCCACTGCCTGTCGGTCTGCGTCTTTGTGGGTTAAGGCGCCACGCAAATATCACCGCCTCTCTGCCGTCTTCCGCTCTTCACACGTGCACACGCAAGTAGCACCAGGGGCGGAAACGTGCCGCAGCGGGTTGCTCTCCAGCTTTAGGACGTGGGCGAGGGCAGGGCGGCCATAGGCCACGTCGACGGTGTCGCGCGCGCTAGGGAGGCGACCTGAAAACTTGAGTAACATGCCGGTTTTCGGCGCCAAAGCAAATCCCCACAACGTGGCTAGTGGCAGGGCAGAAAACAACGTGGAGAAGGCAAATGCGGCCTGCGCTTTCTCCCACCCCTCCCGCTGCTTCTCTCCCATGAGGCCTGCCACACAAGGCTCCTTCTCCGCCGCAGGAGGAGGACGTGGAAAGCCCACTGGGAAAATATGTAAAACTAGTTTTGGTGCCCCTGTTCGGTATGTGCGGCCTACAGCACAGGAGAGGCGTGAACGACTCTACGCGTACCACGCGGCGAAACAAATTCTTCAAGAGGATAATACAGAGTCCAACACCACACCTTTCTCCTCCGTTACTCTTTCTTCTCCTTGCCCATGTGGAGTCACCGCTAATACTGCTAATGCTGCTGTCACTACTTCTTCTACTACCATGACTATTGCCACTGGCGCGGCTCCTGATGGAACGCCCAGTGATGTCACCCTTGACGCGAGAGAACCTGCATCCGAAAACGTGGAGGCTGAAACAGTTGCCAGGGATAAAAATTTGTCTCCCACGGATGATCAACAGCTGCATCACAAGGACCCAGCGAGTTCCGAGCAGCGGTTGCGCGAGCAGCTTTGCCACCTCGTTGCCCTCTACGAGAAACACTACAGCAATGTATCGCGGGAGTGGTGCAAAAGAACGTTTTCGGTGCCTACGCTCTCGCAGCTTGTACCAGATCCGGACAATCAGCAGGAGGAGGAGGAGGAGGAGGAGGAGGCGGAAAAAGCCAGTCCCATGACAAACTCTTTGTTGGGAAGCAAACTGTTATCGCCCTCAGCTGGGGGTGACAAGAAGGCACGATATTTGGATTTGACGCCTCCTCCTCAGCGCGCGGAATTGAGTGCGACGGCGACTGAGGCGCCCTCTTTGCATAAGCTGGGCTTGCCGGAGATCCTCCGAAATGACGACGAACGTGTTGACGAAGCGCCCATTGATCCACTCACCGTTGAGCAGGAACGCCGTACTCAATCGGTACGGCGACACATCCTGAAGACACTTCGACGTTTTGATTTGGCCTCGCGCCAACCGAGAAAAGAGGGAGGGGAAGCCACAAGGACACGCAGTGCTGCGGACTTCAAAAGTTCGCACCTTGAAGACTTGACAGGCGTCTGTGGGACGCTGCTTGATACACCGGTGGAAGCAACACCGTACAACCATGTAAAGCGACTGCTAAAACTTCTTTGGGAGGAGCCCACATTGCAGAAGTGCACCGAGGCAGCCGCGCGCCTGGTGACTTATGCCCTTATGCGCTCTCTCCCTGTGGAGCTATATGAGGGGGATCCGGAGGACTACCGTACGTTACGTCAACGCAGTCGGGTGGCAGCTGCTGTGTCGGGTGGGAAGAAACGAGAGGCGACTGCAGAGGGTGATTGGAGGACCTTACCTGTACCAACGCTTTCACACCCAACACAACACTCGGGTGGTTCGTGTGATTTTAGTAGAGTTTTTTCAGAGCCGAATACAATGTTGGCGTCATGCGGATTGGAAAACGACATGGAGGAGCGCTACTTCCTCCACCAGGATTCCATGTCACTCACGAAGGCGCTACAAAGCGTGGCTCTACAGAAGGGTATCTGGCTTTCCTCCACTGTCCCCATGATGCGGCGTCCCCCTCTGCATGCCTGTGGGCTTCCGATGCGTACGGCACGCCACATCGCATTGTGGCAACGCCCTCCCGATTTTAACAAGGACTCTACGCTACGAAGTCGGGAGCGGTTTATGGATGGAACGATCAATACTACTACTACTACTACTACTACTAGTACTACTACTACTACTACTGCTACGGGAAATGTCAAGAACAGTTGGAAGTCACACGTAGCGGAATCTGGAGAGGCGGATGACTGGCGCCCAAAAACTCTTGCACCCCTTCTTATCATCGCCTTTGGCGGTTACCGCGTGGCACCGTTTAGTACTTATGAGCCCTCAATGGCATCGGATCAAACACTGAACGGGAAGAAGGATTTTGCCTCGACCTGGGGTCAAGATATCATTGAAGGGAGGAATGACACGGTTCTATCTGCAATGAATAACTTTATGCATCCCGAACCCACGCTGCTGCCGCTGCAGGCTGTTATGCAAGTCATTCTTCAGTGTGTGCGCCTAAACCGATCTATACGTACGGAAGAAGTCACTGATGTCTTCCCGCCTGTCATGTTTGACCTCTTGACGGATTTGGTTTATAGCTATAGGGATTTTTTTCAAACTATTCTATCTTTGTCATTTGAGCAAGGCTCCTCTCGGTCTTTCTTCGTGCGCACTTACCGTGAGACACTAATGAGCTGGGCTTCCATTGTTATCTGTGAGGCTGCCATTGGGTACGCGGCGGAGCGGGCCGGACAGGGGCCTTCAAAGGTGCACTGGACGAGTGACATCATGCCAGAGAAGTTTACAGTGGAGGAGTTTGAGCGGATTGTGCTTTCCGGTCTCGTCGAAAGGACCTTTCCAGGCATGACGCAGTTGGACTACGACGAGCGGCTTTTTTTCCGCACCGTCGACACACTTCGTTCGGTGGTACTTGAAACCATCGGACGCGTTAAGGGCGAATTGTATTTTCTTATGACGGGCCTGGATAACCGTAGCGCTGTCCTGGAGCAATGCCGTGAGCGACTGCGTCAGTTTCGCGCGACGGAAGCGGCTATGGTGGCGGAGGCGGAGGAGCGCCTACAGGCACGCCTGCATGGTGGCAGTGGGGACACTGGAAAGTCGGGGATCGCCACGCATTCAGGGATGCACGCAGGGGGGGCCAATATGGAGTATCACACTCCGCCACAGCCTCGCTCGGTTTCCACCAACGAGCGAACATCCTCCATGAACTTACGCCATGGTCGCTCCGGTACGCGTTGCTCAGAGGCTTTTCAGGCTTTTCAAATCTCTGAAAAGAATGCTGATTCAACAAACCTTGCCGGCTGCGATTGCTTTCAGCCGACACCCGCCTTGATGCCTTGGAAGCCTGGGTGCAAGTCTCGTACGACCACTCTGTGCATGCAGGAGGACAGTGCCCTTGGCGAGAGTAATCTTCCTTTCTTTCAATCAACAGTGAGGCTCTCACAGGGGCATACGATGAGCACTTCACAGGACATACAGTCATTTGCTGCATGCACGCACCCTTCCTTGCTCGCAGCAAAGGAAGCAAGTATGCTGAAAAATGATGCCTCCACCACCGTCCTCTCTGCGTTAGGAAAAACAACAGGGGCGTGTAAGCCGACACGGTTGCAACGAAGTATGTTAACGGGGTCATTGTTGCTTCCCGCGCGGACTCTGGGGTCCCAATCCAATCGTTCCACGCAACAGCAAAATACGTTAGCCCTCCCTGAAGACCTGACACTGCGGGCTGTACGACGGGAACTTGTCTCCCTGAAATTTCGGTCTCAACCATTGACAGAGAAGGTTGTTCATTTGCCGCATGATTTGTCTCTCGGTTCCTTGTCGCCTGCTCGAACGAGCCGGATGTTCAACACTGTTGCAACCGGCGACGACACCACAGCCTACGCCCGTGAACGCAGCCTGCGTCTCACTGCAGGGAGTGTTGGTGGGAGGGTGGCGGCCCCAGTAACGTTGCTGCCTCCACCCACTTACTCAGCTGCTGCCGGACCCGAGGCGGCATGGGTGCAGTCCAAAGACGACAACGAAACACTTTCCAGTATTGTTGGCCCCAAGCAGGCGGCATCCGTTGCGCGAATGCTCCGGGCCTGTGAGAACACGGCCCAGTTTTACCTACATTTTCAGAACGCATTGAACGACGACGGAGGTGGCACGCGGCGGAACCGACCGGAGACGCAGTGGTACGCCACGGGAAGCACAGGCTTCTACGAGCGTCGCGCAGTTGCGGTGATTAAACGCGCGCGTCAGGTCGCGGCGTTTGACTTGCACCACCTTTCGCCCATCACGGCTTTGGAGAGGTGTGTGCAGTGGCCTTCTTACACTGCTCCGCCACGCCACGCTGGTGACGCAGATGAAGAGGCGTGGTCGGGGGAACAGGGAGGAGGCCGGCGATGGTGCCCCTCATCCTCACGTTTACCGTCCCCACCGCCACCACCGTCACCGACTTTGCAGGTGCACGATGACCAGCACCAGGGATTTGTTTCTCTCAAATCAAAAAAGCTGCATTTGGGAAAGACGATTGTGCCGTGGACGTTGTAGCGCGCTGTGGATGCGCCCCCTTTTTGCCACCTTGCTGCGTTTGTTTATTTTTGTTCGTCTGCTCCACTCTTGGGGGCTCTTTTTTGTTTTTCTTTCTCTGGCAAGCTTCGACTCCAAACCTGCACCTTATTATTACTTTCCATCCCCTGTTTATATTCTTCCTGCTGCGTTGTGGCGTTCGGGGAGGTTGGCGCAGCGTAGCTGGCCAGCACCATGAGGAGCTTGTTGCAGTTATGTTTTTTGCTTTTCTTTTTCTTTTTGCTTTCTGGGAAGCGAGCAGTGGAGCCGTTAGCTTGCGGCGACAAAAAACAAACACGGTGAGGCTTGGCGGAAAGGGAAATATAAAACAAACAAGCAAACAAACAAGACGAAGAATGATTCCACGAGGAACCTTTCTCTTTTTTTTCTTTTCTTTTATGCCCTCTTAGTGACTTTTACCGTTTTTTTTTTTTTTTGTTGTTGTGTGTGTGATGGGTTTGTTTTGTTGCTGATTGCCCTTGCTAAGGTGTAGGTGCGCAGGCTTCTTATTGTCAATAAACCTTTACGCCCCGGGTGCAGATGGGACGCGGGGAAAGCACCCACTCGGCAACTCCTTTTCCTTTTTCTATTTTGCGCATGCACAGATGTAAATGTAGGCATACGAGCAGATGTGTATGTAGTGCTGTACCTGTGTATTAATGCACAACCTTATGTATGTTTCCTTACGTTTATACAAGGATATGTCGCATGGTGTGTGTTTGTTTTTTTTTTGCTATATCTGTTTTTTGTTTACTTTTTTTTTTATCTTCTTTTGCCTTTCTTTGAAAATCTTGCGTCTTCTTCTGCTGCAGCTCTTGCCACTGCTACTACTACTACTACTACTACCACTCCTATTGCTCCTTCGCTGCTGTTCACACTTTCTTCCACCCGTCCTTTTTGCCTTTTGTTTTTATACTATGTGTGTGTGTGTGCGTCTTTGCCTCGCACCTTTGGCTGCTCCTGAGGTGAAGGCCACACGGCAGGCGCCAGAGAAGCAGAGGAAGAAAGCGGATATCAACGGGGAGGGCACATACACACACACACACAGAGAGAGAGAGAGAGAGATTTCCTGTAGTTAAGGGCGTATTTTTGCTCTTGTGACTCCTTTGGCGGGAAACACCGGCGCGGCGGACGCACGGGTAAGGAGCAGAGGCGGAAGAAG